AAACATTAAGGGTATGAAATGAAATAGGAATTAATATTAAAATGAAAATATGACTGAAATCAAAATTATTGTTGAAATCAAAATGAATATTATTATTATTATACTGAGATAATATGAAATAATTAATTATAAAGATATTTTTACTAGACCAGGCTAAAAAGTTTCGTGAAAAAGAAATCTCGTAATTATTAAATGCAAACTGACCATCGTGAAGTGAAAATCTGGAGAGAAAATATTTTAGTAAACTGGAATCTGTAGAAACATTATCTGAATGTAAATGAATATTGTCGGAATCGGTCAAGATAAAAGTACGTCAATGAAAAACGAAAGGAATAAATTAACATATTCACCGGAATGTCGTCTTCTCTTATGGCAACATTTAGCTGTTGCTTGTGAGATCTCTGTCCACCTTTTACCTCGACTTTCACTTGTTTTCCAATGCTGTACATCTGCTAAAAGAAATATATGTATATGTATTGTTAAATAACGAGGTGAAATGTATACTAAATACTACAACGATTTTATAAACGACGATGATATTTAATATTAATTCATACGTCTACAGGTAAGAGGTTAATGATGTTAGTACAATGAAAGTAATGCTGCTATATTTTTAAATTCTTTTTTCGTCTTAACAGTTCTGTGTTTCGTTTATCTATTTTTGCTATAAATGCATAAAGTCCGCAAGTCTAATTATGACTTTAGAGAAATGTTCATAATAACATGTTCGCAAGGCGACACATGAAAATGGCTTTAATTGTAGTTATCTTTTTTTCTAAGTTTAAGCTAGTTGAAAGTAATGTTGCATTTTTTAAATACATACGTACGCCATCAAAAAGCTGCGATACAAATTAATTTATACCCTTTCTGTATGGTAGCGTTAATGGTAAAGTGTAATGAATGTAAGGACATTTCTACATTCTTCTCCATTTATTGATTTTTATTCAAATCTTGTTCCTTACAATTAACTCAGAACAATTTTATTAAGTCGAGTCATAAATAACTTCCGAAACAGCTAAATAGAATCTATTGTTCGTATCTACCCACTATGAGTCACCGGGACAAACAAGGTTTTGCTTTCACTAAATAGATAAGGGTGCGAAATAAATAAAATAGAAAAAAAAGAAATAAGTGAAAAAAGAAAACGAATTAAATGTCTGATAGATAAATGAAAGTTATTTATCACTCGACCTAATATTTCCCATAAAGTCCAGTGATGATAAACAATGTTCGTACAAGTTGCAACAACAAAAAATTACATACTATAAACAAATCATACAATCGTGTTAAAAAAATGACATCGGTTATAAATAAATAATGATTTTTAAAATCTCAAACTTCTTCAAACATATTGTTAAACAATAGATGCATAAAACTAGTAATAAGAATTTTGAAAAGATTTTTCTAACTTTCTAATTCAATTTTATAAGGCGTTCGAATACTTATATGGCGTGCAAATTCTGTGTTTTATGCAATATTTTTTTAATATTACGTATGTAATGTTTTATATTAAATCGAATGTTTCTTTTTGTATTTCGACATTTATAGTATTCTACTTTAACACTTAGCCAACCGAACGGGGAGATCTACCCGTTTAAAATTCGGTCGGTTGACGATCGAATGGATGATTAATCAAAGATTAAAAATGATTGCTTAATTTTATCAAGATTTGCAAGAGATACGAATGCTGAAGAAGTAATCGATGCCATATAAGTTTGCTTCATAATTTTGGTTTAATCGAATGAAATATTTTGATTTTATGAAAATTTTTGAGCTTTCTAGCGCGATCGTGGAAGCGTTAATATACCGTAAAATATTTTTTCCCTTCGATGTATATTTATTTAAATATATGCCGTAGAAGTTAAAAGTTATGCTAGTGATCGAATACTTTCGTTAGCCACTGCGTATGTCCGCCGCGGCTGTACGTAAATAGTTAGACGTGTGTAACCTGTGGATGATGCACGGCCACAGGACACACGACGCACGACACACGACACACGCGACTCGCAACACACGGAGAGCAGAGTACACAGCTCACGGCTCACCCTGAACCGTAGATCCATATCGCATCCGCTTGTCCTGTGTACGCGGCCGCGATACAGCAACAGCGCACCGCTCTCCGAAGGTCCTTTTACTGCTGCTTTTAAACCTCCGTAACGGCGAACGGTTCTGTCCGTCACAGAGCTCTGCGGCTGCCACAACATCAAATCAGTCGTAAAAAAGGCCCCCACGTGTCGGCCTGGCTGGAACTGCAATTTTTAAACCAACACACCGCGCCGCGCCGCGCCGCGCCGGCAGCTGCAGTTCCGCGTCTCGAGCTTTGACGGTCTAACTTCTCTGTGGGTTATTAAATCGCTGGTTTATAGCACGGCTCCCACCCTAACAAAGGGGCACTAGTGTTCCCTGAAACAAACGAAGACGTTTGGAAATGTAAATTTAAAAATCTCTCCTAATAGACACGACTTTTTTCGCTCGGTGGAAACCGAGCTGGCTCTGACCGAAAGGTTCGTCGCGTTACAAAGGGACGCGAGCTTTCGAAGAAAACATAAGTTATTGTTTGTTTTAATTCACTTCGTTTCGTTCGAATTTAGGGCGATGGTGGATCTATGCATTTTCAGCTGAAATTTACGTGAGAAATCACTTTCCCTTGTATTTCATATTGTTCAGAATGTTGAAGGCTTTTTGATACGAAATTAATGGAAAGCAAAAATAATGTGAATAATGTAATTAACGATTATTCAAAAAGCTACTTGTACCAGTTATCGCGGTTGCAAAAATATTGTGGTTGCAAATGTTTATATTATTAAAATGCTGTTATAAGGTTCTAAACACAATAGAAAAATTACAAGAATTTAAGAATATTGATACACATATGTACCATTTTCGAGTTTATAGCGCGAGTTTTTGTATAAAATTCCAAATTTTAGTAATAATGTGTACTTCTTTGGAAACATGTTATCGTAGAATGTATGTTGAGAAAGGTCCTATGAAAGAAACGCAAACAACCCTTTGACTGTAAATTATTTATGTAAATATTTCATACGTGTAACATACTTAGTTGATACTAGAGTATCAACTTGAGAGTAATCATTATATAATATTTGCTACAATATATACAGTCAAATTATAATTATTTAATATCGCTATAGTACAGAGTAAAGTTAAGATTATTTAGAATTGTTATAGTACAAAGTAAAGGTAGGATTATTTAATATTGTTATGGTACAGAGAAAAGTAAAAATTATTTAAAATTGTTATAGTACAGAGTAAAGTAAACGTTATTTAAATATTGTTATAATCCAAAGTAAAGTTAAAATTATTTAATTTTGTTATAGCACAAAGTAAAGTTAAAATTCTTTAAACTGGATTTAGTACGAAGTGAAGTAAAAATTATGTATTATTGTTACAGTGAAA